GTTGGAGACAAAATTAAGGTAGTAGATTGGCTAGTGACCATGGCACAAACGAAACTTCCGTACATTGACAACACTTGGTTGAAGAATTAGACCAGGTGAAAGTGGATATCGGTCGTTGTCAACGCGGCGACGAATTGTGAGATCGATTGTCCTATTCAGAAAATGTGACAAATTCCTAGACATAGCAGAATTGCCGCGATTTAACACCAGAAGTAACGACAGGTGACTGGTGCCAGGCAGGCCATACTTCGACGAGAAGATCAGAGGGTGCAAATGATAAATGGCTGAATACGACCGAAGGTGCTAGATGAGCTGGAGCACCAAGCGCGCATTTCCCGTGAACTCTTAAAGTAGCTGGTACTAGGATTACGAGAAGTTCGCCACTGCATATGGTCAGGCGAGGTGGTAACGTCAAAGGGAGAAGTAAAGGAAGGATCTGAGAGAAGACCGCGAATAGTCTTTTCATTATAGGCTCATTAGCTTGCGTCTAAAAAGGGTTTTCGAGACTTTCCAATTTGAAAAAATTAGATAAAACAGTCAAAGAGCGCAGAAGCATCAAACAGTGCAGCAGACGGTTAGCGCTTTATCATTCAAACTTCACGGCATTGGTAAACAGGAATGAAGCATTACTGTCTGACAGAACTTATGTGAGTAACGAAGCCATATTATCGGTGCCATAGAACGTGCTTGGGAATGACCAATGTACCACCTGTTTCGATCACCTTATAGTCGCCAGTCGTTGATCACAATCGTACAGACATATTACTCCGGGGTCGCAAAAGTAGGACAGCTGCAATAATTGATCTCGTTGTTCCATTGATCAGAAACGTGCGAAAGTCATAACTGGAGAACGTAAGAACTTATAAAACCTGGCCATCGATTTCAACCAGGTACATCGACTAAACACAGTACGAAGAAAACTAGTGCGTACTGAATGAACCGCGAATGGTGTCATTCAGAAATTAGTGTGGACGAGTCCTAACCATCTGAAGCTCCTTGAAATGCTGTTGAAAAATTGCTAGAGAGCCGTTCTTCTGGATACATACAGAATATTGCGATATATTATTAATATCACAAATATGTAGCACGCCGTAGCTAGTTAGATATACCTTGCCCCTGAGTGTTGGTAAATATCCTCAGTATAACAGTATGTGAAATAAAAAAATATTGTTGCTTGTGCACCACCCACATTTCCTCATGCTATTCGCTTTCTGTGTATTCTACTCACTTCATATTCGTAGGCGTATTAATCTTGGTGGATGAACAACGTTCGATGAGCCAGGAAAACCACAGTCCCCGAAGATATCGTCGTGGCTTTGAGTACAACGATGCGGTTGTCAACTCAGCGTTGGCAGCAGCAGACCGCGATCAGCAGGTACAACCATCGCTGGCGGTGAGGACGGACGAAGTGGAGAAGATGTTGTGGCAGCACTTCGAAAGCGTCGCCTGTTCCATCGCCGAGCTCTATCGCAGTCCTGAATGGACCAGCTTTCAAAAAGCGGCTTCCGCTGCTACGCTCTTTTACAAAAGTAACGATTCTATTCATCTTGACAAATATTTGTAATCGTCTTTCTTTCCAGCACACATTGTGTATGTATTAGTAAGCATCCTGTTTCGTCTTCATTCATAAATTTGCGAAACGCATTTGCATAAGTGTTCAACCTATGAACAGCTCATGACAACATAAATAGCACTCGCATGACGTAAGGTATAAAAAAATTGCTTTGAACTTGCGGAGAAAAATTTACACATAGAAGGTGGCGTAAGACGAAAGCAACGGTAAAGCTATCATTTTAAATGCTCATCTTTATGGCCACAGAATTTAGGTTGGTCTCTTTCCTGAGAGAGGGTCACACACGGCCTAGCGCATTTACTGGTTCCAGATATCAGCACAACTATTAGATATGTGGGC